AGTAAAAGATATGAAAGAAGAAATAAATGGTCACTCATTAATACAGACCAGAACCTGGTGGGCTGGAATCGATGAAAAGAGAGAGAGAGAGAGAGAGCAGTATCTCGCGGGTTACATGGAATACCAACGTTCACAGGACTTGTACCACTCATGAAAGCACAGGGCATCCTCTCAAGGAGGTCTTGAAAGCCCGGGCAAGAAAGTGAGCTCGGTAGGTTTCCACGCTCTGCCGAGAATGAAGACAGAAAGAAGGCCACAGGGGACCCAGGTCTTGAGTGGAGCAAGGGTATTTTATTAGCAGAAATACAGGCTTATATATCTTTAGTAAAATGTTTACTTAGCCATTACAAAGAATGAAATTCCATCAGTTACAACAAAATGGATAATCTAATACATTTAAGTCCGCTGACGTTGAAAAGAGTCACTGAAGGGAGTTACTGGAAGGAATCCAAGCAGGTACCCCTTCCTGTGATCTCAGTGATGAGAACTGTGTGCAGCTCCACTCGTTCCCCTAATAGGAACTGATAAGGATCAGAGAATCCTTGAGAAATGGCACACAAAGGAAAAAAAATGCAACTTACTGGATTCTGTAAAGTTGAACGTCCCCTGACAGTAAATGACTTCCATATTCTTGCTCTTCTGCTCCAATTCTTCATTATCTTCCATTCAGTTTTCTGGTGTTGCCAGGCAGAACTCCTGTGGAATGGCTGTGGGAAAGCAAAGGGGAGATTTAGAGTCAGGATGTGACCAGGGGACTGTGGTGCCCTTGTCTCCAGGGAACTCCCAGGGCCTTGGTGTTTCACCTCTTCAGTGAAAAAGTGGACCTTTGACCTCCAACATCCTGTTGCCACCCTCAACTTGCCTATGTGTGACCAAGAATGAGGCTGTGCCAATCTGTTCCTCCTCCAGGTGGTCACTGTCTCCATGCATCTCTGCCCACAGCCTTCCTTGCCTCCTTCTCCTGCTGCTTCTTCTCTAATTGCTTCCTTATTTCTCTCCTCTAGTCACTGTCACTTTACTTCCTCCTTCAACCTCTAGCAACCCTAGAGTTTGCAATGTGGACACATTAGAAGGAGGAACATCGGTGTATGGCCACTGTCTCCAATCAGTCCATTACTCAATTAACCAATACATTTCTCCAAGGGAGGAGCTGGCATGGACTTGAGAGTGTGTTCAGCCCTGGGGGAGGGAAGGACAAAAATTCCACATAACAGAGACTCTCCCGTTGCCTGGGGTGGCCTGAGTTACCTGGGAGATGCTTAATGCTCACAGCAACACCTCAAGTTTCACAGACCCTTAGAAAGGATAGAGGCAAACACTTCCAATTTCATTTAGCCAGAATAATGTGCAAGGGTCCTCCATAAACATGTGGTAGCTGCCGGGTTTGCACTGAGACTTGGAAAATTGGGAGGGATGAGACTTGGGAAGGTGTAAGGAAAGGAGAGAGGACGGGGCAGGCCTGGGTTGGGGAGAAGGGGCAAGACTGTCTGGATGCAGCAGTGGGTTCTGAGAGTAGCAGTGACCCCAGGACCTGCTGCCCTGGGAATGCCCAATCCTAGGAGACCAGGTCAGCAGGGCTGTGAAAGCAAGTGTGTGAGGAAGCCCCGTGGGCCCTTCACAGACTCTAGAATCTGCAGATGGGGAGGGTCTCCAGGAGCAGCAGGCCATGGACCTCTCACCCGGAAGCACCTTCAGCACATCAGCCTTGGCTGCTGCAGAGGCTGTGAAGAGCCCCAGGAGACCGGGCCCGGGCAGGGACCCCAGAGCCTGTGTGCTGTGACTCATCCACCCCCGGCAGCGCCCTTTACACGAGGAATTAACAGTGAGGACAAACATGAGGGGAAGTCACAAGTCCTGAAAGTGCAGGAGGAGAGAGTTCACATCGCACCCACCACCTCACAGGCACTGCAAGGACGTGGTCTCCAGTGTCAACTGACAATGAGAGTTTTGTGCCCACTAGGATATGGTCCTCATAGTTCAACATGCAACAGAAAACAGCCTGCAGTGCACAATACCCGAGATGTGCTGACCAGAGACCAGGTTTCCATATTAGTAAAAAAGCAGAAACGAGCAGCTCTTATAGGAAAAATGATTTTTGAAGAGTAAAGCAACAAAAGCTGATTAGAAATAGAGCACAATGCAAGTCCAGGACACAATTTCTCTATCATATCATTTCATATGTAAAGAATAAGTCAGAATTCTATACACATTTCCTTCTTCTTAATTTCATGTTCACTTTTCTTAGCCACCAAACAGAGAGTTTAACTCTGGGGTTAACAGAGGGTTTAACTTCCAGAACCCTCTCCCATCAGATCCCAACGGAATCTTGTTAGCTACCTGTCTCCCCTTTCTCATCACTGCACCAAATGCCCTCCACAGTGCACTCCACGAGCAAAAAGGTGGTTAGAATGAGCAACCCACCCACATATCCTCCAGTTGAGGCCTGCTGGATCTCACAGCATCACCTTGAACTTTTCCCCAAGGTCCTGAAGAGACACCCCACTGTGGATAGCAGATGGCAGTCATCTGTGCTCTGTGCAGTCACAGTCATTCAGTAAGTCACTGATATCAGTTGCAAACCTAAAGATAGAGATGCTGAAAAAGTCAATTCTCAACCTCTCACTTCTACATGTCCACTAGAGCTCTCACCTTCATGCTAACCAACCTGAAATCACAAGTGTTTTGACACATGTATAACATGCCTTTAGGTAAATTATAGCAGTCACATCTCGCTAGTGCCTACCAACTATAATACACAAAAGCCACTATATATGTTTATATATGTGTGCAGATAACTCATGCAGTCGATTTCAGCACTTTGTGAGCCCAGGGACTAGCCGGCCACGGCCGTCTGTCATGGAATTCTCCAGGCAAGAATCCTGGAGTGGTTAGGCACTTCCTTCTTCAGGGGATCCTCCTGACTCAGGGTTCTAACCCAGGTCTTCTGGATTGCAGGTGAATTCTTTATTGTCTGAGTCACCAGGAAAGACTGAATGAATCTTCAGATCATCACCACGAGTCCTGCCGATTCTGACAGATGACGGCAGAACAGGAACTTTGGTACAAGTGAAGGTGTTTCCCAGGTGGCTTAGTGGTAAAGAATTTGCCTGCCAATGCAGGAGACGTGGGTTCAATCTCTGGGTTGGGAAGATACTTTGGAGGAGGAAATGACAATCCAGTTCAATATTCTTGCCTGGAAAATAGCATGGACAGAGGAGCCTGGTGGGATATAGTCCATGGGGTCACAAACAGTGGGGTCATAACTAAGTGACTGAGTATGCAGGGATATATACAGGGTGTTAACACCCCTCTCTTGTTATTTCCTTTGTGTTTTCTGGCCATTTCAAGATGACTGTTTGCTGTTAAATTAACAAAGAAAAGACCTCTGACACATGAGAGCATTTAGCCTGAGGGGCTAAGAGAGATGTTGCCCTTTTCTGGTTTCCAAGGTAATCAATGGGCCAATCTGCTGTTCATTCCCACTGTAACTGGTAGACTCCTTATCCCCTCAGAGTAAAGAAAACTATAGCTGCTGTCTTCTGCCTGTCCCCTCCTATCCACAGTGGGTGTCTCTCTGAGAGGGTAACAGGCAGGAAGGCCAGGGGTCTCCAAACAGAGGAAATAGGCTTCAAGTGTCAGACATTTTTATCTCTCTCTTAAGTGGCAGGAATGATGCTTTCCCCCCCCCTTTCCTATACAAATTTAAAAGGAGATTTCTCTTAAAATACTGTGTTGCCATAATGACACCTGGTTCCACTTGAAGTTAACTATTCTCAAACCTTGAGTTAACCAATGCACTCTTCTTATGGAAATGTTTGTCTTAAGCTATGTTAATGTGCTATGCCTTTACCCCAAACTCTGTCTTGAACTCCATTCTGCCTAATGGTTCAGAACCTACTTGACAAACCATTATGTTATATTCAGACATTGTTCCCCTAATCTATGTAAACGAAACTATTTGTATGGTAATCTGTCTACAGGATTTAAGTCAATCATTTTATGGCCTGGGATGACTCTTCCGGTGCCAAGATTATCCCAAAATACATCTTATGGATGAGGGGCCTGGTGCCATTCTGAGTTTTAAGACATTCCTTTCTTCCTTTTCTTTCTTTTTTTTTTAAGAGGCTTTTCAGGGCAAAATTTAATAGTATGAAGAGGTTTACAAAAATAGATTGATGCTATTTTGGGAAATAATATTGTAATTTTTTCTCAATTCAGTTTTGATAAATTGTACCTGAGTATACAAAAATTATTTCAAATTCAAACTTGACTATATAAAAAAGGGAGAGATGAAATGAATTCAGCTAGATGACAGATCTGGCAAAATATAAGAATGAAAACAATTCTGCCTAGGGCACTTATTTCATGTCCAGATGTAAACACCACTTTCAGTTGATAACTTACATTCCTCCCATCACAGGTTTGGAGTCGATCATGCAGTACAGAGCCACACAGTCAAAATCTCTGTTTTGACACAACACAAAAAAGTTGTTTCTGTTTCCTTAAACTGCCAACTGGCTGTCTATTTTTCTTTATCCCATTTATTTGTATTCACAAGTTAACAAGTAGCGTCAATAAGTATTGTAGGTGAAGTGGGGTATTGCTGGATGAAAGGCTCTATAAGACGTCTTTACTGATCAAATCAGAAGGTTTATTGAGTTCAACCCTCACACCTTTTTTACGTGTTAGATATTTTGCTTTAGCTCGTGCTCTCTCATCTGCATCAAAATACCAAACAGTTATTGCGTACCTTGTAGCATATGCTGGTTGTACTTCATGAGGGTTGCGACGGTCAGACCAGAAAAACAGCAGTCTATCAAATTTGGGTTCAATGTCAGCAAACTGGGCTTTGCCTTCTGGAAAAATTCGAAGTATACCTCCACTTACCTTGACATCCCAGTCTTTATTAAGATAATATATACATGTCACACATCTTCCATCTCCATTTGGATTATCGACATGACGTACGTAACCTGTTCATTGCCAGGATAGCAAGCAACCATGGCTTTCGTCCGGCCATTGATTTTGTAGTTGCCCAGCTTCCCGTTACAGTGGCGGATCAGGTCGTCCATGTTGTTCATGAGCAGCCCGATGGTTTCACAGCAAGGCTCCTCGCCCTCGATCCAGGTGATCTTATCGCCTCGGATGTCCTTGGACGAGTCGCTCTTCTGGCTGACCAGCTGCCCGTCCGTGAACTTGCCCGTGTCGTGCAGGGCGCGCACCTCGTCGCCTATCTGCTGGCCGGTCTCCTTGCCCAGGAAGTCGTCCACCACGCAGATGCCGTGCTTGTTCATGCAGGGCACGATGCACTCCAGCGCCAGCTTCAGTGCCGGCATCGGCTTCGTCTGCCCGTTGGGCCGCAGGCCGCCGTGGCTCAGCCCCTCGCCCGGCGCGTTACTCAGCGGGTACAGGTTCGCCCTCTCCTGGTACAGCGACGGGCGGGCCAGCAGCTCCTCCTTCGCGGACTCCGCCTCGGCGGCCGCCGTTACCCAACCATGGCTGCCGGGGGCCGCGCGGGGCGGGGACGCGGCTGCCGCGGGGTCGGCCGTAGGCTTGGCCTTTGCCTTCGCCTTGGCCGCGTCTCCGGAGGCCCGCGGACCCGCGGCGTCGACGGCTCGGTCCCGGCGCGGCGCCGCCTTCCTGGCCTCCCTGGCTTCGGCGGCCCTGGGCGGCGGCACGCGGCCCGGCTTAACGGTTGGCCCGTGCCGGGGGCAGAAACCTTCTCGCCGACCTGGCACACGAGCTTGTGCTTCTTCCAGTCCTGGCGCTGATGCTCCTTGCTGCAGTAGAAGGAGCTGCGGCAGCGGCTACAGCGCAGCAGGTTCTCCATCTTCCCGCACAGCTCGCAGTACTGCCGGTCTCGCTCGCTCAGGCTCGGCCCACCGGGCCCTCCGCTGTCATTGGCCATGGCGGCGGGGCTGGAGGCGGCGGCCGAGCAGGAGGGGTGGCGGCCGGACGGCCTAGCCTCGGGCCGGGGAGTGGCAGGGGCCGTCACTGCGCCATGCGCCCGCCGCCCCTCACCTCAGGAGACCGGCGCCCCGCGCCCTCGGCCCGGCCGCGTCCTCGTCCTTCGGTCGCGCCACGCAGCGCCGGCCGCCGCCTCAGTGCCTCATCACCGCCGCGGGCTGAGGGAGCGCGGCCTGCGCGGCGGACGGCGCCCTCCGCTCGGGCACGCGGGCCCGGCGCGCGAGACCCGCCGCCTTGGCCACCGCCGCCTCAGCGTTCCGGGCGGCCGGCTCGGCTGGCGGAGCAGCGCAGGGCGTGTGGGCGCCACTCGCTCTGCGCACTCTGCACGTACACCCTCCTTTCTTTCTTAACAAACTGCTAGTGACTATATAACATCCAGCTAAAGACTAACAGGGGGGCACTCTTTCTGCCCCCTTCTGATGCCTATGTCAGAAACTTTCTCTGTCTCCTTTATACTTTAATTAAACTTTATTACACAAAAGCTCTGAGGGATCAAGCCTCGTCTCTGGCCCTGGATTGAATTCTTCTCCTCCGGAGGCCAAGAATCTCGGAGTCTTTTTGTGGTTCAGCAACAACCTTTCATCTCCAGGACCCATTTACTTCAGATATGTAAGATGTCCCATCTATTAACCCTTTGATATCTCTGTCAACTCTGGAGTTTTTTTTGGTCTCAAGTCCAGGCAAAGTACAGCACTTGCAGGCCTGCAAAATGTAGCCCAACAGCTTCTGCAGAGTATTTGGCTGGCCTGATTTGATGATTCATTTTTGTAGGTATTTCCTGCGCTTGTGAATACAACCCACGTACTCAGGAGCCTTTGGGACACTGAAACAGCAATGCCAATACCTAGATCTTAGAGGATTTCCCAGCAGGTGTTCCACTTGAGGGGACAGGTGTGGACACAGGGCCCAGGGCAATTGTGCTGAACATCATCAGAGAAGAGGTGAGGACGGAGGGAGGGACACTGCATCTCCTCACCAGCCCATACCTCCACCACTGACTCTGAGATCAGGGAGGGAGGGACACAGGGTCTTCAGAGAGAAACGACCAGCACACTGAACACTACACACCCCACTGAGAGAATGAACTAAGCCACGAGGAATTGAACTGACAGATCATGCTCATAGACTGGAGACTTGGTACTGTTGACATTTTTATAGTATCCAAAGCTAAGTAAAAATTCATTGCAACACCAATCAAAATATTAACATCACTTTCATAGAAATGGGAAAAACAAATCCAAAGATATATATGGAACTGCTAAGGACTCCACATAGACAAAATAACCTTGAAAACAAAGATCAAAATATCTCACCTCCTGATTTCAAAACACATTACAAAGATATAGGAATCAAACCTGTATGATACTGACATAGAAATAGATACATAGCCCTAAAGACCAGAATACAGAGCTCCAAGAAAAGTCACGGATACATGGTCAAATGAAATTCATCAAGGTTCTAAGACAATGGAATAGGAAAAGGGTAGTCTCTTCAATAAATCAGTACGATGAAAAGATAACCTACAGAAAAATTACAAGCCATGTATCAGATAAGGAGCTCATCCTCAAAATTCATAAGAAAATACCACAGCTCAAATGCAAAACAAAAAAATATTAAAAAGAGTAAATAAGGGAGTTGAGGAATGTGCAAAGATTTAAACAGACATTTCGGGAACAAGACAGACAAATGACTAGCATACAAAGGAAAAGGTTTTCAACCTCACTAATCATCAGGGCAAAGTAAATCAACACCTCATGCCTGTTAGTTTGTATATTATAAAGGCAAAGAATTAACAGGTTAAGGCCATGATGTGGGGAGCTAGAACCTTTGTACACTGATGGTGGGAATGTAAATTGTGTGGCTATGTTGTGGAAAACAGTAAAAGTTTCCTTATAAATGTATGAAAGGAGTAGCATACGATTCAGCAAACACAGTTCTGGATATATATACAAAGGAAATTAAATCAGTATCACAAAGAGATATCTGCAGTCCTAAATTCACTGCATCACTTTCCACAACAGCCTAGATACACAACCAACTTCAGGTAACAAGTATTCTGTGCCTGAGCTAACTTTAGATAACTGGGAGAAACTTGGTGCTCAAAATAACTGCTTAAGTCTCTTAGCCCCTTAGGGAGGATGAACACAATATTATAATTAAAGTAACATGTCCAAAGTGTCTTAGTCTGAAGTGATGCCACAAAGGTTTTACAGATAGGGAAGCCTCATATACACACAGCCCCAGCCAGGGTTTACCCCAATCTTGGAAAGACTGGGAGGAATCAAACCTGGGAAAGTTTGAGTAAAGGTAACAGGGTGGGCAGGACTGGGGTGTGCAGAGCAGGGGCAGGGCTGTCTAGATGGGAGCATTGGGTTCTACGTGGAACAGTGATCCTGGGTCCCACTGCTCTGAGTCTCTGACCTGGGTCTGGTCAGGCCCAGGAGGCCAGGTCAGCAGGGCTGTGAGAGCCAGTGTGTTAGGAAAGCCAGCGGCTCCCTCACATTGTCAAGCGTCTGGGGGCTTGCTGGTCTCCAGGGGCAACGGGGCATGGACCGCTCCCACGTGAAGGCGCCTTCAGCACAGCATCCTTGGGCTGGAAGCTGAGATGAGCTCCAGGAGACTCAGTCCAGTCTGGGATGCCAGAGCCTGTGTGCGTTGACTTATCCAACCCCGAGAACACCCTTTACATGAGCAATAAACAATGAAGACAAACGTGAGGGCAATCTACGAGTCCTGAAAACGCAGAGGTAGCGAGTTCATATCTCACCCAGAACCTGACACTCACTGCAAGAGCTTGGCCTGCAGTGTCAAGTAACTATTAGGCTTTTGGTCCCATTAGGATGTTGCCATCATAGGAGAATTTAAACAGGCCCGAAGTCCCTTGTATGTAAGACTCTGAAGGCACTAACCATAAGCCATTCTCTCATGTTTCTCAATGAAAGGACAAAGAAAGAGGAGTCTTGTGAGAAAGGACATTTCTAAACGTAAAAGCAAGAAGAGATGTCTACAACAAGAGACGACTACAGGCGCAGTACAACAAAGCACATGCACACACAGTTTATTATTTCATTAAAATACGAGGAACAAATCACAAGCTTACACATACTCCCTTCTTCTTCAGTTTATATTCACCTTCTTTTATCTCCCAAGTGGTCCAGAAACTCTCTCCCTCCAATTTAAATCCTCAGTTCATATTCACCTGTTTTATCTCCAAAGAAGCAGGTATAACCTGAGTGGTTCAGGAACCCTCTCCCTCTAAATCCTACTCTCCCTGAGACCTGTGTCCTATCTAATTCTCTTCTACATCACTGCTGCTAAGACTCTCTAGCATACATTTCTGTAGAAAGACAACCATGAGCAATAATACAGTTATTATACAAGTTGACCCTTCCATCTTTCCTCCTCCTCTTGGCTCACAAAGCATCTCCCTGGTCTTCCCTCCAGGTTCACAGACCTTCCCTGTGCTTGGCGGAGTCAGAGCCTTTCAACAAGATGTTGATCACAGTTGCAAAATTTCACATGACATAGAGATCCTGAGAGAATCCCAACCTTACTTTTCCACATGCTCAATATAGCTCTTACATTCAAGCTTATGAAACTGAAATTCCAACATTTATGGACACACCTGAAATATCACTAGTGTGACCAAGTAATTCTGTGGTTTTTGTGGGGCTTTTTAAAAATATAACACATTAATTATTGTTTGAAGTATATTCATTATAAATAGGCTGATCTGAGTAGTGGCTACTCCACTGGAACATTCAGCTCTAAGAGCTCCAATGATAAGGAAAAGACGCTGAGCTGCTGTTCAGGTTTTTCTTTATTGCAGAAGATTTGATGGTCTCATATGCTCAGTCATATGTAGGTATACCTGGGGCTCTTGGACACAGGCCAGGCATTGGGAGAGTGCTTGTGGACAATTCAATAGTAAAGTGAACACTCAGATTTAAAGAAAATTCCCAGAGGGGGCTCACTTGTAGGCAGAGGTGAAGCCATGGCCCTGCACACCAGTACTACAAGTAACCAGAGGGTAGGCACAGAGGGGAGAGAGGACATTCCCTCTCTTCATGAGCCTGTCTTTCCCGTCCCTGACTCAGATGACTCAAACAAGGTAGTGCAAGAGGCTCATTAGGAAGTGCAAGATTTGGGCACTGAAAACCATTGTACACTGTTGAGAGAAAGAAGACACAAGTAAATGGAATGGCATAGCATATTCACAGACTGGAATATTTAGTGCTGTTGACCTTATACAACTAAAAGTGATGTACATATATATTGAAACCACTCACAAAATCTCATTTCAACTTTATACAAATGGGGGAAAAAAAAAACAAACCCAGAATACTGATACTTATGGAACCTAAAAGAAACTCAAAGAGAAAAAGTCTTGAGAGCAAAGAACAATGGGGCCTTAATGCTTCCTGAATTCA